CATCTGTCACCACAACCAATTTTAGCACATTTTCATTAGACCCAAAAGATACCCCCTTAACTGTCACCCACTCCAACCTCCCAACTCCACCCCCCGCCATGGGCAACCGTTGATATGCTTTCTGTCTCTATAGATTTGCCTGTTTTGGACATTTCATATAAATGGAATCATAAAATATGTGGCCCTTTGTGACTAGCTCTTTTCACATAGCAGAATATTTTCAAGGTTCATATATGTTGTACTGTGTATCAGTAATTCATTTCTTTTTATTACCAAATAATACGCTATAGTATGGATAGACCACATTTTATTTATCCCTTCATCAATTGCTGGACATTTGGGTTGTTTCCACTTACTGGCTGTTATGAACATTTGTGTACAAGTTTTAGTGTGGATATATACTTTCTTTCTTTTTTTTTTTTTTGAGGCTATACCTAAGAGTGGAATCACAGAATCATATGGTAATTCTATGTTTAACTTTCTGAGGATCTGCCAGGCTGTTTTCCAGAACAGCTGCACCATTTTTCATTCCCACTAGCAATGTATGAGGGCTCCAGTTTTTCCATACTGTCACCAGCACTTGTTATTTTTCTTTTTTTTTAATTTTATTTTTCAATTATATCCATCCTAGTGGGTGTGAGGTGCTATCTCATTGTGGTTTTGACTTGCATTTCCCTAATGTCTGCTGATGTAGAGCATCTTTTTATGAGCTGATTGGCTTTTTTTTAAATATGTTCTGGATACTAGGCCCTTATCAAATGCAAAATTTAAAAATATTTTCTACTGTTGTATAGGTTGTTTTTTCACTTAATAGTGTCCTTTAATACACAGATTTTTAAATTTTGATGAAGTACAGTTTATCTATTTTTTTCTTTTGTTACTCATGCTTTTGGTGTCACATGGAAGAACCCATTTCCAACAGGGTCATGAGGATTTATCCCTATTTTCTTCTGAGAGTTGTAGTTTTAGGTCTTCCATTTAGGTCTCTGATCCATTTTGAGTTAATTGTTATATATGATGTAAGGAAGAGATCCAGTTTCATTCTTTTGCATGTGGATTTCCATGTGTCCTAGCACCATTTGTTGAAAAACTATTCTTTCACCACTGAATTATTTTTGCACCCTTCTCAAAAATCAATTGACCACATATGTGAGGGTTTATTTCTGGACTCTTCTGTTCTGTTGGTCTATATTGTCTATCCTTATGCCAATACCACACTGTTTTGATCACTGTAGCCTCATATTAAGTTTTGAAATCTTAAGTCTGAGAATTTCAAAACTTAATATGAGTCCTCCCACTGTGTTTTTTTTCAATATTGTTTTAGCTGTTCTGGGCCCCTTTCAGTTCTGTATAAATTTTCATTTCTGCAAAAAAAGGTCATTGGAATTTTGATAGAGATTGCATTGAATCTCTTAATTATCTTTTAAAGGGATTTACATAAGAAGAAGAACAAGTCTTTTATATTTACTCACATAGTCACCATTTCTGGTGCTTTTAACTCCTTGTAAATCTAGATGTCCATCTGGTATTGTTTTCCTTCTCCTGAAGGATTTTATTTAGCACTTTGTAATGCATATCTGCTGGTGATGAATTCTTACAGCTTTTCTATGTCTGGAGTCTTTATTTCACCTCTATTTGTTTTTTTTTTTTTTTTTTGGGTTACGGGGGCCTATCACCGTTGTGGCCTCTCCCGTTGCGGAGCACAGGCTCCAGATGCGCAGGCTCAGCGTCCATGGCTCACGGGCCCAGCCGCTCCATGGCATGTGGGATCTTCCTGGACCGGGGCACGAACCCATGTCCCCTGCATCGGCAGGTGGACTCTCAACCAATGCACCACCAGGGGAGCCCACCTCTATTTTTGAACAGTTCTCACTGGGTATGGCGCTACAGTTAATAAGTTTTTTGTTTTGTTTTTTCAAGATGTTGCTGCACTGTCTCCAGGCTTGTCAGAGAAATCCTGTGTCATCCTTATGCTTCCTTCTCTATAAGTAGTGTGTCCTTTTTCCTCTGGCTGATTTTAGTATTTTTTTTTCCTGCATCACTGGTTTTAAACAAGTTTGTGATATGTTTAGTGCAGTTTTCTTCTTATTTCTTGTGCTTGGAGGCTGATGAGCTGCTAAAATTTGTGGATTTATAGTTTCCATCAAATTTGGAAAAATTTCAGTCATTATTTCTTGAATTTTTTTTTTATCCTCATCTCTTCCTCTCCCGTAGGGACTCTTAACTACCCATGTGTTGGGCTCCTTGAATTTATCCCACAGCTCGCTCACACTGTTTGGTGTTTTAGTCTTTTTTTTGTCTATGTGTTTTATTTTGTGTAGTCTTATTGCTGTTTCTTCAAGTTTACTAATCTGTGTTGTGCAGTTTTCCGTTAGTCCCATCCAGTGCACCTTTCATCACACACCTTGTAATTCCATCTCCTCTATCTTTGGTTGCTGCTTGGCATGGCTCAGTGTTCCTGAGCCTGTAGAAATCAGTCTTGCCCTGTCTCCCGGCTCTGTCACTGTGTCACTCTGTCCTCTCCTTTCCTCGTGGACTGGCTTCTCTGCCCCTTTGCAGGCCCAGTCACCAGTGATTGGGTGCCAGGTTCTGGGTTTCACTGTGTTGGGAGATGGTGCGGTTGTTCCTTTGTGTGTTTGTGTGCTTTATTCTGGGATATAGTTTGATCCTTTCAGGTTTTGCCCTTAAGCTTTGTTGGTCGGGACCAGAGAGCATTTCCCCAGCTCCACTTTGCCCTGACCTGCAAGGGCTCTACCTGCTGCCTGTGGGTTAGGGCTTTCCTCTTGCTGGTAGGAACAAGTGCTTACAGCCTCTGTCCCTATGGGTGGCCGTTTCCTGGCTTCGGTGGCTTCCTCACAGGCTTGCACTGACTGTCCCCTGCGAGGACTGAGGGCCCCTCTGTTCAAAGGTCTACTGCCTTCACTGCCTTGTCCACTCGTCTTCCAGTACCACCTCCTTCTCTCAGTCCTGCCAGGCCTCATTTTCTTTCTGCACCGTGGCTGAAGTTCCTTCCTGGAGGAGTGGGGGGTGTCATGGAGCTTACCTGTGCCCTGCCTCTCACTATCTGTGTTCAGTGACTTGAAAACTATTGCTTAGTCACATAAACTTCCCAGTTGTTTTTAGTTTTCCACATGGGAGGGAGATCCAGACTCTGTGAGTGTCTTGTCTTGGCAGGGAGGTGTAAGTCTCCAGCTCCATTGTCTTTGAAAAGCTGCCTGGGTGCTCATGGGCCCCAGGCTGGGAGCTGGGTGGAGGTGAAGATTCAGGCCAAGGTGTGAATGTGTGTGTGTGTGTGTGTGTGTGTGTGTGTGTGTGTGTGTGTGTGCGCGCGCGTGCACGCACGCATGTTTAGCCATCCCATCTCAGGATAGCCTCTGATGATGACATGGTGCCTCAGGAGATGTCGGTGCTCCAGCTCAAGATTCAAGGGCGTGTTCTGCTCTGTTTACCCCGTTAGGCTTGTCTGGAGGTTTGGAGAGACACCCATGACCTGGCTGATGCTTTCCAGTACACCTGCCCCATGGGTTGGGTTCTTCCTGCACTTCTGGCAAGTTCTGGTTCGCCCAGGGCTGGTGTGCAGCTGGGGGTTGGGGCTGCCACCCAGGATACGGCAGGTCCTACGTAGACACAGATTTGTGCTTTAGTCTTTCCCTGGGACCAGGATGGAGGAGGTGGAGGACAGCAACAGAAATCATAGAGTTGAGCTGATTTGATTTAAAAGGGAGCCTGTGTCTTCACAGAGCAGGTTGTCAGTGGCTGAGAGCAGATGAACAAGACTCACTCTTGGGAGGGAGAGCAGTTACCCTGACCATACCCTACCCTACATTATTTAGCCAGTCCCCTGCCGACAGAGAAACAAGACACTTTCTACATTTTGATTTTTTATATTACAAACAGCCCTACTCAGAAACATCCTTATATGTGGCGTTGCACGTTTTCCCAGTTGTTTTCTTGGACTAAATTCCTAGACTTCATATTAAATAATAAATGAATGAAAATGTTTCTGTTTCTCTCAAGAGATAAAGCCATCATTTTCTTTGCTCTTTAGGAGCCCTCTTTTATTTTTCTTCTGTGAGCCAGGAGCCCTGTAAAGAGACAAGGTCTCCCCTCAGAGGTCTGCATGGGGTGGCCAGTGGGAAGGGAGCCCCTGGGGAGGACACACACTACAGGCCTATGTGGGTCACGTCCTGGCTACTGTGATGGTGCAGGGTGAGAAGGAAAGAGAAGCAAAAGTGCTTACTAGGGGCCGTGACACCTGGGGGGAAACGGCATGATGGCAGGTCCGAGCCGGCCGGGACCTGGGGCATGGACTTGGGCAGGCCAGCACCAATCCTGGTTGTACTTGCCCATGGGGGCTCCTTCCTGAGCCAGCCATGTGCTCCTTTGCCTCTTACAGCCCAAAGCTCTTGCTGGGTCTGGGGATGGTGGGTCCTCTCCCCTCTGGTATTTTTATCTCTGTGCTCAGGCCCTGGACAGGTGGGCAGGGTCTCCTGACTAGGACACACATGGGGACCTGTTGGCTGATTCTGAGTGTTCTGGTTCACACTCCTGTCCCCTCACTTGTGCCAGGCTTGGGCTTCCACCTTTCCAGGCCTCCGCAGGCACAGGTGTCTCCCAGGATGAGTGAATCAGGATCAGGCAGGGGAAGGGCACTTCCCTGAGTCTCGGTTTCCTCTCTGGAGGGAGACCTTAGACCCACCCTGGTTCTGGGGGCTTCCCTTCCTGGCCCCGGAGTGGGGCCAGTCGGCTGATGGGGGCCACACTGGCAGAGATGGTGGCTGGGGCTTCCTATCCCTACCTCGCCCCAGTTCCTCCAGCCCGTCCCTCTATCCCATCCCACCAGGGCTCCTCATTAGCCCCACTCCCAGCTCTTCTGTAACCTCACAGCCCTCGTGTAAGCCCTTAGGTATCTTGCTCCTCCTGTGTCCCCCTCTTCCCCCACGTGTCCGGCCACAGGGTTGCCTCCAGGCTCCCTCTCAAGAGCATCTCATCTCCTGCAGGCATTTGGACAGGCCCACACGAACCATAAGAAGGTGGCTGCGGATGGCGAGAGCCGGGAGGAGAGTCTGATCCAGGAGTCAGCTTCCAAGGAGCAGTACTATGTGCGCAAGGTGCTGGAGCTGCAGACAGAGCTGAAGCAGCTGCGCAACGTCCTTGCCAACACACAGTCAGAGAACGAACGCCTGGCCTCAGTGGCCCAGGAGCTGAAGGAGGTAAGCAGCAGAACTAGGGTGGGCTGCTTGACTGTGGGTGGGTGGGAAAACAAGCCAGTGCTTCCTGGGGGCAAGGCCACCCACAAGTTGTTCCACTCCCAGCCCAGTTTTATGTGGTTCATGGTAGTCCAGGAGGGGCTGAGGGTGGCAGGATCCCAGCTCTGCCCTTGGGCTGATGTGAATCCTGGGTTCCTCATGTGAACAACAGAATTATAGTGTCCACCTGCCAGCTCATGACAACAAAATCAGAAGGGACCACCGCAGATAGCTCCTAGGATCAGCTCGGCCCCTGACTGGGGCCTGGCCATGAGAGGCCTGGGCCGGTGGAGAGGGGAGGGCAGGCATCCAGTGCCCTCTGAGAGAGGTGGGAGGGTGGACCACCATTCGCAAGATGGGGTGGGACAGCATCAGGGGAGCAGGCATAACCAGAAGTCTGCATGAGCTGCAGTCCTGGCTGTGGCCTTGTGGGGGTCCCTGGTTGTTAGAGCCCACAAGTTCTCATTAGGAAGGGCAAGAGGCCTTGTTCTGGGCTGTGGGAAGACCCACTCTCTGGCCTCTGTTCTCCTGGGTTGGGGCGGGGTGGGGAGCAGTGACAGGTGACCAGAACAGCAGATGGTCCTGAGCGGTGGGCAGCTCTGAGGTGGACGCCTCAGATGTGAGGATGTATGACCGTCAAGGTCCCACAGGGCTGGGAGGGGACACTGGCAAGGTTTGGGGCAGAGCCCAGGATCCGGCAACAGTGAGGAGTAGTCACCCACCGTGGTTTGGGATCAGAGATCACCAAGGCTCGTGGGCTTGGGAGGAACTTGGCTGGATCCAGGGGGAGTACATGATCTCATTTCCTCCCACAGGAGCATTCTAGTCAGGGTGGGGAGAAGGGGCCATCGGAGCTGTAGATTTGACCACCCAAGTTGGAGACAAGACTCTTTGCTGGCTAAGCACCCTTTCCCGGAAGAGCCAGTAGAGGTGCTCTGCCCAGCCCAGACTCATTCTGCTTCTTCCCCCTTCCAGAAGGGGGCAGTCAGGAGCGTGGCAGGGGACTTGCTGACTACTGGCTTTGGTGTCAGGAAATGAGCTCAGCCAGTCCCACACACTGCTATTAAAGAACAGGTCTGGTTGGGCCAGGATTCCTGCAGATCGGAAG